TACTCTTGAAATCGCATATTTAATTAGTTTCCCTTGACAATGGCGCCAAGATGTCGCCGAAACGTCGGATTTATCTATCGTTAGTTTTTGCCTGTATACACTTGCATATTGCCGGTGAAATTCAGGATCCCTTTCCATCTTCTTTCTCAACCAGTGCAGTCTCTTCTTCGCTACTGGGAGACTGTCGGGAAGACAGGGGGGATTGTGTCGAAATGGCAGCTTGAGTTGATAGTGGCCATTGACGAGGACCACTGATTCATCTATAATCTGCTTCGCTCTTCGGTCCTCAAGTGACAAACTCTCTTCAACATCCATGACGGTATCCTTGAACTCGGTATTGTACAAATGCTCCAGCTGCATACTTAGTGTCTCTTCATGATCACTTCTAATGAGATTGATGTGGACACCATCACCGTTAGGTTCACCCATTGGGCCATACACTGTCCATCCTAAGGGAGTTTTCACAGCATAGGGCTGGCCTCTATCTCCTCTCCTGATCTCTGAATTGTCATCGATAATATCTGGTCGGTCACTGCCAATAAGAATCGAAACACTATGCTTCTCTATTTCAGGAAGACTGACGCCATCAAGATGTGGCCATTTTCTCAGTTCTCTATTGCTGGCAAAGTGCCTCTCGCCAATGGGTAGGCTCTCCGTCGTCAGAACCTGATCAAGAGTAAACTTTGTTTGTCCGTCAAGTGCTCCTATATCTAGGCGGGTTCGATGGTAATGTTCCTTTCCTTCATAATTGACCGTTGAAAGGGTGAAATCAGTGGGTTTGCTTTCAAGGCTCAATTCTTCTAGCAGACTTCTTAAGCAGAGTGTAGTGTCCGACCCACTGTCACTGGCGTACGTGGCAAGCTGTTTATTGCTACCTGGCCCACTGACTCTTACTGGCACGACCTTGAAGCAGACCCTTAGTCTATTACTCGCTGTGGGTTCCACTGGAATGGAATCTCTGGATACTGCAAATGTGCTTGATTCAGTAACTGGGGAGGGGTTGGACTCAGTGACGGTTGAGGCTGTTCCACCAACCGAATTCTGGTCTTGAATAATGGGTTGCTGATTGGCGCTGTCTTGTTTTACTTCAGGTCCAATGGTCCCTCCGCTCTCACGAGGGTGAAGAAGTGAATGATGCTTCCTTCCACATCCTGGCTTCCGACAAGAATATCCCTTTGGGCAAGATTGCGAGAAGTGACCATGTCCAAGGCAACTACCACAGAGTTTCTTCTGTTGTACCGTTCGCAATCGATCTTCATGAGATGAATTTCTAAAAACCTCGCAATGCCAAATCGCATGAGGTCCAGAGCATTGATAGCACTTTAAGGTGGCTGATCCAGTATCGGTGGGTTTTCTGCTTCCCTTGCCCTGAGTAGTTAGGGTCGTGGCATTAATTGGAGGATCTTGTTTCCCTCTGTTTCCATATCTTTTTTCTTTCTCTTTTTGAAGCGGCGGTGACTTCAATTCCTGTCCAAAACGGTTGTTTAAGCGATCAGCTCGTTTCTGAATGAAGTTCAGAAAATCATAAAAGTCAAGATGTCCTTTAGAACAAATCATGTCCCCTGCGACGTCTGTCCATTCTAGCTTCAAGTCTTCATCAGGCAGCTTCTTCATAAGCATAAGAATTGTATCCTCATTGTTGAGGCGGCTTACATAAAGTGGTCCCATACTTGTTAAAACCCGCTTCGTATCTTGAAGTCTTCTCGCAAAGTCCATGAGGTTGGTGGCATCAACTCTTCTCAGGTTGTACTCCCTCAACTTTCTCATATGAGCATCAGCCACCATGTGAGGCTGTCCAAAGTTCTTCAACAGGGTTTTCCAGGCTGCATTGTATCTCTGACCAACAGGAAGGTTAACACAACTTTTGATAGCATCTCTCGCCTTTCCAACACACTGAGCAAGTAAGCGAGTAAGTCTTTGTGAGTCATCAGACACCTGGCTTTCAATATTGTCACGGAAATTGGCAACAGACTCACCATGCTCAGACGGATCTCCTCCAAACTT